AGACTGCTTGTGCTCATTTTCAGCATGAAAAGACTAGAGGAAGACTCGGTGGGCACAGGCTGTAGTCACTGTAGATTGAACGCAGAGATGGAGGTACTGTTTTTGTCCTCACATCGGTATGTACTGTCTGTTTACTTTGCCTATGGCCTTCTCTGTGTGTTACCAAGCAGATGAATGAAAATCTACAGCGACGGACAGACTAATAAATATGCTCTCCGTCTACCGTCCTCTTCCCTGCATTCCACTGCATTTTATTTGTGTGCACATTTGCTTGAGTGCCTGTGCCTGCGCAAGTGTTTTATTTTCATGGGCCGCATAGAGATGAAGGACATAAAGCATCCATATGTATGAAATGTAGAGCATAAATAAAGCTTGACCTGACTTGACTCCATCAGTGGCTGACATTACTAAACCCAGTGAGCTGTAATTTCCTTTATGGAGCGCAGAACCACAAAGCCTGGGAGACAGGCAGCGGGATCAGAGAAGACTCTAAACACACAGCAGTACAGCCTCCACTCAGGGGAGTTCTGCTCCTGAGTCGCAGGCTCACACACACACACACACACACACACACATACACAAAGGCTTAATGGATTTACGGGTCCACAGTCAGAACCGCCTGACCAGAAGCAAAGAGGGGTCAAGCATCCTGGGTGTCTAGCTGCAGATTCAGGTAAAAGCTCAACCCGGCAGTTTTTTCAGGATCGTGCGCTAGAACCCACCATCCCGGGGGAGAGGTTGGTCCTGACGTTAGCTGTTATTGAAAGGATCTCCGCGGCATCTTCAAAAGTGTCTGTTTCCCGTAATAACCGTGTGAGGTAGGATGTGTGTGTCATTACGATTATTGCGTAATGATGCAAGCATAATGGTGGTATTTAGCACAGTGAGGTTTAAAGAGTGAAGGAAAAGTGAGGTGACAGCAGAAACATAAAGACGAATGCACGTGATTGCACAATTTCAGCACACATGCACTCACACAGGCACACAGAAGTTTTAGCACTATTTAATCCATGTCTCATTTCCAGGTTGTATCATTACCAGACAAAGGATTTCACCCTGAGGCCACAAGTCTCAGCACGATGATGATGAGTGCATGAAGTTTGAACATTTATTCACACCAGCACAAGAAACATCATGTTTTAAGTATAAAATGAAAGTTCTCTGTCCTCCAGGTTAAGGCAACGGCTCTTTCTGAGGGTTTTAATTAGGTGATTGCCTCAGCTCAGCAGACGGAGCCCCAGCTCTTATCTAGATTTCCTTTTCTTGGTGCAGACCAAGAGTAGCTGAGTGATATCTAAAACGTCAGACTGCAGCATGACTGCAATCACTGTCTGGGTACGAGCCTCAGAGAGAGCTGCACACTACCGCTCAGAATTTAAACACCATTATCTGAATGAGAACCACTTCTTTCACTCACTGTCTATTCAAAAACTAAAGATCACCTGCAGTTTTTAACCTTTCCGGTTGCTAATGTTTATTACGTAACAGAATACAAGCCATACTTAGCTTGCATGCATTTAGGTGGTGCATTTTACTGCAGTTTTAACAGCTAGTGGGACTGGTTGTCTGCTTCGTAGATTTGTCTTTTTAGCTGTTTGAGTTAATGTGTCGACGTTCTTTATGCACTGCTGTGATCTGTGTCGAGTTTGTTGTGAAACGTATTTATGAAGACATTACTGAGGCCAGCCAGGCCAAAAATCTTTGCGGTTAATTTAAAGCTAATAAGTAAAAATCTCTGCAAAACTCTACATCAGTTTAAGATTGAAGAGAATAATTAAAAAGATCAAATCTGACTTCAGAAACTTTAAGCAAATGTTTTTATACGTGTACACTTTGAATTCCCAGCTTATTTAAAAATGTAATTGGTGTCCTTTAGGTCTCATTACAAAATTCAGCTAAGGGACCAGCATTCCTTTGTTGTTCCTCGGTTCAGGAAAGATGGTGGGAACTGGTTTTCCAGTAACGTTAAAGCCCCACTGGAATAACCTCCCATGAATAAAGGGACAGCCACAGCTTTCTGATTGTTCAGCTGTTACTGAATGTTTCAGTGATATGTGCTGAACATAACTGGAATATTTTCTTAGGTTAGCAGTTAGAGCATTGTGTGAATGATGGAATGTGTGAGTAACACTAAGTTACCTACACCTGGTTTGTACTTTATCTTCTCTTTTTTGATGTATTTGAAAAAGGACCCACTGGAAAATGTGTGTGTGTGTGTGTGTGTGTGTGTGTGTGTGTGTGTGTGTGTGTGTGTGTGTGTGTGTGTGTGTGTGTGTGTGTGTGTGTGTGTGTGTGTGTGTGTGTGTGTGTGTGCGTGTGTGCGTGTGTGTGTGTGTGTGTGTGTGTGTGTGTGCGTGCGTGCACCATTGCATGCGTGTGTGCGTGCGTGCGTGCGTGCGTGTGTGTGTGTGTGTGCCTGTGTGTGTGAGAGAGTGTGTGAGTGTGTGAGTGTGCATGCATGTGTGTGCGTGCACCATTGCATGCATGTGTGCGTGCGTGCGTGTGTGTGTGTCTGTGTGTGTGTGAGGAGTGAGTGTGTGAGTGTGTGAGTGTGCATGCATGTGTGTGTGTGCACCATTGCATGTGTGTGTGCGTGCGTGCGTGTGTGTGTGTGTGTGTGTGTGTGTGTGTGTGTGTGTGTGTGTGTGTGTGTGTGAGTGAGTGAATGAGTGTGTGAGTGTGCGTGTGTGCATGCATGTGTGTGCAATTAATTGATGCATCTGACAATAAAAGCGATTTGATTTGATGTGAGTGTGCGTGTGTGTGTGTGTGTGTGTGTGTGTGTGTGTGTGTGTGTGTGTGTGTGTGTGTGTGTGTGTGCGTGTGTGTGTGTGTGCATGCACCATTGCATGCGTGTGTGCTTGTGTGTTTGTGTGTGTGTGTGTGTGTGTGTGTGTGTGTGTGTGTGTGTGTGTGTGAGTGAGTGTGTGAGTGTGCGTGTGTGCGTGCATGTGTGTGCATGCATGTGTGTTTGTGTCTGTGTGTGTGTGTGTGTGTGTGTGTGCATGTGTGTATACATATATACTTGTGAGGTCACATTTTACCAAAACAACAAAAACATGTATAACTGCATCGTTTCTCAAACTACAGTAAAGTTTGAGGGTGACAAGTTTTCTTTTGTCCTCCTCCTGTCTGCATACTCCTGTCTGATGTCCTTTTCTCTTTTGCCTTTTTAAGACTGACATGAACAAAAGGAAGTTTACCTCTGAAACAAAATTCACCGCAACTTTTTTCTTTCTGTTTTTGGGTGACTGTGCAGCACAAACAGGTCTACCTTCCTGTTTCACAGTAAATCCTGTTTCTCTTGATGTCTCCTGCTGCACCTTCTGTTTTATTTGCTTGTTTGTTTGTTTTGTTTTGTTATTCATTAAACCGTTCTACGTTTTTGAGATCGCCAAGGACCTCCACAGATGGGGCCCCCTTCCTCCAACACAGTGAATGCCCTGAGGAGGCGAAGAGCCATCAGGTTTGTGTTGCAGTCAGCTGACGGCCCAAACGTGGCAGGTGAAACACGGGTGGAAAAGTAACATCTGAAGGATGAAATATGATGAAAAAAAATCGTACTACAGCAGTGCTTTGATATGCTGCATTTACAGGGATTTGGTTCTCATTCTGCCCTGCTAGACAAGCATTCATACGCTGCTTCTGTTTACCAGACAAGTGGGAGGGTGGTTTACTGTCCCTTTTGTGAGGAGCTTCATCACCATCATTGTTGCTTTTTTAATCCAGCAAGAAAGCATTTACAGTACCACTGTCTGTTTGAGTGGTGAATTGTGTGCACAGAGCAAAGTACTGATGTGCAACAATTAAAGTGAGTGGTCTTTTGGACTGGCGTTGGTTTGTAGCTCTGTGAGCCACGGGCGCTGAGAGAGGGAGGGGACAGGTGTTGTGTGCAAATACAACATGCAAAAACCTATCTTGCATGTGTCAAAGGTGCAATATTGTGTTTATGTTCCTTCAGTATTTCACAGGGCATTTAAAACAGAGGTTCCCCCCATTAAAATGTGTATGTTTGTATAAAGTTTGTATGTGAGAAGAAAGGACAGATGGTCAGGGTGCACGAGCCTCTGGTTCTCTTAAGTGATTGAAACTGCATCTCTGCAAACCTCTCCAAGATGCCCCTGGTTCTCCTTCCTCGCCTCTGAATAATAAACAGTCCGTCCTCTGTCAAGGTTTAGAGCGGTGAGCTACATCTTCACTTCCCCTCTCTATCCTTCCCTAATGAAATAACGACACCCCGCCCTCCCTCTCTTCGTCTGCCTGAATCGACACTTGGCCAGATTCAACGGTGCAGCAGAAGCTGAGTCATAAAGGTTTCAGTGCCCAGATTTATGGACAGTGATGTGGGTGGGGGTGGGTGGAGCAGGGGGAGAAACTCTGGCGTCAGCTTGCTGATCACTGAGACACATGTCAAGTTGGAGAATATCTGCTGACTTCAGATAAAGATGAAAACATGGCTACTGTAACTCTCCTCTGACGCTGGACGTCGATTCTCTGAAAAACAGAATACATTTGTGGGGTTTTTGGTGTCAGAGGAGAAACCATGAAGCTCTGTCATGTCCGATAAACCAGCGTTGTTTTTTTGTCTCATCTCTTTTGACTGACTTGCTGACTGTGTCGGTAAGCTGCAGCATTCCCTTCCTGTCAGCAGCTTATCATAATGGATCCAAAGGAAGGTCTTACACTCTTTTTCCATTAACCTCCATTGACATCCGGTTGAGGAAGAAGCTCGTTGCGTCAAGTTCTGAATAAAAAAGGAGCTCCGGGCTAAAAGCACAGAAAGTCATTTTCTTTGTTTATGAGTCACACAAACTGGACATTAAATGTAATTTTCTGTTTTGCATTGTGTGTGTGTGTGTGCGTGCGTGCGTGCGCGCGCGCGCGTGCGTGCGTGCGTGCGTGTGTGTGTGTGTGTGTGTGTGTGTGTGTGTGTATTAAAATGATTTGATTTGACTGTGTTGTAGCAGGTTGTCTAAATAAACACACACAGTAAAGCCAGCTTTAGGTTGACAAGACTTTATTAGCGTTGGATGCAGCACATGACAGGACTTAAAGCTCTCAGTGGGGACTTGAAGAAGTAAGTTATTTTAAACTGTGTATTGCACATAAAACATCTGTATCAGCACAATCTGGTGACAGTGAAGCATCCACAAACAATTCTCCAGATCATTTCCATTTCTTGCTTTTGCCGTGTGCACAGGAGCAAACATGCTGTTAGTTAGTCAAGTGAGTCAAACATTACTGACTTCACGAGGTTTTCATTTGGGTTTAATTAGGCATTTCTGCATACTGAGCACCAGAGAACTTTGACAAGTTCATTTAAACTTTTTCATCAACTGTTTTTCCAGGTTTCTCTTCAGTTTTCTCCTCTTCTTCTTTTGCAGCTTCATCCTCCTTCTTACCTCCATCATCATCTTCTCCTATTTGCTCCTCTTCCTTTTGAGGTTGGTTGTCCTCTTCACATTCTTCCTCGTCCTCTTTGCTTCCATCTTCTGCTTGAACTGCTTCATCTGTGGAAAAGCAGGACTGGTTAGAGACACGTTTTTCATTAAGCCCAAACGTCCCTGAAGTAACACTACTGACCCTCTTCGTTTGCTTCTTCCGCCTCCTCTTCCTGTTTTTCCTCCTCCTTTTCTTCCTCTTCCTCCCCCTGATCCCCCTCCTCCTCCTCTACATCCTCCTTCTCACCTTCTTCCTCTTCCTGCTCCTTCTCTTCCTCTTCTACCTGTTCTCCCTCTTCTTCATCCTCCTCCTGAGGGGGGCTGGCTTCGGCCTGCTGTGCATGGCTTGCAGATATTGGCTGCTCTGTGGAAACCGATGATGAATAGAAGCGAGAGCTCAGCAGGTACGGAGCAGCGGCACTCATTTGAGGGAGAGTGGAGATCTGTGCTCTCCCGTAGCCCGGAGCAATGCCCATGGCTTGGGAGTAAACCATGAAAGAACTCGGTCTTTCAACATTCAAACGATCCTCCTCTCCTTCAAGGAGTTTCCTGGTGGAATGAAATGCACATTGCAAGAAAATTAATCTTTTAAATCCAACAATTATAAAAATAAAATAAAAAACCCACTAAGATGGATCTTAGTAAATAAGGACCTGTAAGCTGCAATTTCTATATCCAGAGCCATCTTTACATTCAGAAGGTCCTGGTAGTCCTTTAAGTAGCGAGCCATGTCGTTCTTACTGGCCCTTAATTCATCCTCCAGTTGGCCTATTGTGTCCTGAATAAAGAGAAAGCAAAGTGACACAATAAAAAATGCAAAAACAGTTGATTTCTCTCTGACAGACTCCAACCCGGTTTCTCTGCTTCTCACTAATATTTGAAAATTGACCCTTTCTTGTTGTATCTTTATTGTGTTTACCTGCAACACTGAGATCTCGGCACTCTGTTTCTCCTCCACTTCCTGTAGTTGGTTTTCCAGAGCTTGGATGGTCTCACGGCCGGCTTCTATGTCCAGCGTTCTGGCTTTAAGCAGTCGTCGATGCTCTCCAGCTTCATCTTTGGCGCTGCGAGTGCTCTCTGTGCTGCGAGGAGCGCCCACGGTCATCACACTCATCTTGTTGCAGAACCATTCTTCAGCTGCTTGAAGGTTGCGTTGAGCCAGATTCTCATACTGCCCTCGGATTTCTCGAAGAGCCGTGGAAAGGTCAGGTTTGGAGACCTCCATCTCCACTGACACCTCTACACTGTACTGGACTTGGGCCTGCAGCTCTGCAATCTCACTCTCACAGATGCGCTTCAGGAAGGCCAGCTCATCCAGAAGGCTCCCGATTCTTTTCTCAAGCTCAGCTTGGCCCAGTGCGGCTTTATCCCTTCCTTTTCTGGCCTCCATCAGACGTCCCTCTGCTCCCTCTCTGCCTAGAACTTCATCCTCATAGTGTTTTTGAAGGTTCTTCAGCACATCCTCCATCTCATCCCTGTGGTCCTGGGCCGCTTGCTTCTCATGGCGGGCCTCTTCAACAACAGCACGGAGCTGACGGATCTCATGCTCGTACAGTGCCCGGAAGTTTGACGGCTCTGTCTGCTTTTGCCTGAGCAGCAGCAGCTCCGTCTCCAGCAACTTGTTCTGCTGTTCCAACTCATGAACCCTCTCAATGAAACTCACGAAGCGATCATTCAGGTCCTGGAGCTCAGCCTTTTCTTGTGTCCTTAAGACTTTAAACTCAGCGCTAACTTGGGTGGCTTGGTCAAGGCGGAGCTCAGGAGCTGCTGCAGCAGAAAGTAGGGTGGAGTAGCTTGAAGCGGCTCGGGTGGATGCAGGATAACTTCTGCGTGAAGACACATAAGAAGTTACTGGGGCAGAGTGGGTGGAGTAGGCAGACCTGGATCCAATACCTCCTCCTGCTCCATATCCTGCACTGCGCACAACTACTCTCCTGTTGTAGGAAGACGGCAGGAAAGGGCTGAAGCCTGTCGAAGCCATGAGTTGAGAGATGGGCTGCTTTGTTTCAGGGATTGTAGCTGGGCTGACTGCACAGTGAATCTGCATTACTCTGGTTTTTATAGAGCCAGTAATGACCGTGACGTAAGCCTTTTTTTTTTTTTTGCAACCTTTGCTGACAGAAAGGATTGATTATGGTCCCAGCCAGTCTCAGCCAAGAAGGGATGGGGAGGGTTGTGGGTGAGTGTGGGGGTGAAGGAGGCGGGGATAAGCAGCCATGGAGCAAAAAGGGGCTGCAACAGACAGGGTCAACAAGGACAACACAGCTTACTACCGCTAAAAGCTGCAGGGAGGAATACAATTTGTCACCATCAATGCATAAAGGCAGAGTGTGTTTGTCACGTGGGTGTAGCACTGCTCGATAGAAGGTGAAGGACATATTTGCTTTGAAATGATGCAGCTTTGCAACTCTTTGCATTTGACAGATGGGTTGGAGAAAATGTTCTTGAGAACTGCACTTTAAGATGAATGAAACAGTAAAAGCAAACAATGAGAAGAAAAAATACATTATGAAAAATGTGTTAAGAGCCCTTTTTCCAACATCATGGAAATATCTTGTAAGAAGATAAAAAATTGCTCTCTGGTGGTTGTCCCTTTTCTTTGCAAGTGGCAGGCACATTCAGAAAGACTGAAAATAAGCATCATTCAAAGGCCTGATATTCTGCATTTAGTACATTTCATTAAATTTCATTAAAGCATAAAAACAAATCTAGTTTTATCTTGGTGGTTGCAATCCTGTCCTCGTAGCTACATTTTGTGGAAGAACAGCTTTATCTTATCTACATAATCCGACTAGTGTTTTCTTCAAAAACGGTGTTTATTTCTTGAACTGGGTTTGTTAAAGTTAACAAATCTAGTAACACTTTCCCTTTATTAACGTTTCTTAGTGGATTATTATGATTCCTTTATTAATGTTCCAATAATGTTAAATATTAAGAGTCTATTAGGTAAGAACAAAGGGTGGGAGGAGGGGAGGTCTGCTTAGAAATGTATTACTTACTTTATTTAATGGTTTATTAATGCTTAATAATGCACTAACATTAATGAAAGGGACCCTTTATGGAAAGGGTTAACATACATTTTCATTAAACCTTTGTTGATTTTGGTTGAGCTTATATTGAAATACATGAACATCATGTGTGATGTTTTTTTTTTTTTTACTTAAATTGTTTAAAGAGAGGACAATGCATATTTATGAACAGTAATACAACTGCAAATATGCCAGATTGTAGCTTTAGGCTAATTTCCATCTGTAGTCCTCTGGCAGGTTCATGTTAAAAGAGGTAAGACAGACAACAATATACATTTAGAAAAAACAGTTAGGAACATATTTTACAAAAAAGACACGAGTAAAAACAAATTAAAGCGTCATCATGATTGCATCTTTGAGTTTCCTGTAGCCACAGTTTCAATTATCTTTTGAAAGTAACAAAACGAGCTTCCTCTCACTTGAGTAGGAATGCTGTTCCAAACATTCGAGCCCTGGAATGACAGAATATTCTGAGAAAATGTCGTTCGCCAAAGAGGGAGCTCACAGTCACCTATAGCTCGAGTTACTCTGGAAGAGATGTGTTTGATGTTCATTCATTCATAAAGGATCCATAAATGTTTTGCAAATGTCATCTTTTCACTGGAATGCAACAATAAAAAAAAGCCTAACTTTGTATTCTCACCAGTGTGATCTGGGAAGATGCGTTCCCTCCCGCCCTTCCAAATCCTCCACTAAAGCAAGATCAGCCATGTTACAAAGTCCGGCTTCCATTAGTCACGGTGTGTGTCATATGTTCTAACACCAGTTATGCAGCAAAAGCTCTTTCTCCACCGACATAATGACTGAGGGTAAAAAATAATTTGTGGATGAGGAACCCACGTCTGAGACCTTGAGTACTGTGGTTCCCCCGTTGTACGACTAGGCATGGTCAGAAACATTTTTATGCTTAAGTACAAAATGCCACACAATGCATAAAATAATTCCTGTGCATGGAAATCACACGGATCTGTGCGTAAGTACGGCTGATGAATGAGGGTCCAAGACACAATCTGTCCATGATTTTGTGGCCTCCTTCAGCTCCTTAAAACTAGCATAAGCCATGCCGATGTTCACTCTGGTTTTAGCTCTTTGCTTCACCTACAGAGATATTACTCTCATTACTTCCATGCACTACTATGATGCCAACAAAATAAACAAAACTCTTGCTACAACAAGGAAGCTGGAGCTCTTGGAGGAGAAAATGTTTATTAGGTGCAAATAAAAAATATCCACTAACGATTCAACACTATATAAACTTGTTTGCAACATATTTTTTGCCAAAATTTACTATTTGAAATAATCAAATAGACAAAGACATAAAATATAATTCACAATCTAAATTTCTCACGCCACTGCGTCAGGCCACTGTTCACACTCCCCTGGCAACAGCAGTTTTAATTGATGCAGAGTTGATGTCCTCTAGTGGAGCTAAGCTAGAACTGCACTCTGGTCCTATTTAAAGCTTTAGAGATTTTTTTATCCTCTTTGTCAAAACGAAGCAGGAAAAAATCCTACTGTTTTGTCCTCTTATGAATATTAATAAGGAGAAGAATGAGGAGGAGGAGGATTAAAGGAGATGGAGAATTGGGAACTATGCTTATAAAAATACAATGGGTAGTAGAAACACTTCCTGTAAGTCTTTCAAAATAAAAAACTACAGCGATTTGGCGTTAGCAACAGGGTCTTGCTCTAACAGTCTTTTTCTCTTTGCAGTTAGCTAAAAACACAAATCAAATTATATGTATGCGAAAGAGGTAAACACGATGGTTGTGTGGGGCAGCAGCGTAGCCAGAAACAGCTTTTTGGCTGGGCCAGATGTAAAAATGGGTGGGCCAAATAAATGTCATTGAAAACAATGTTGATTTGGAAATTCCACTTTTGTTTCAACTTATACATCTCTATATATATCAGAAATACTGTTAATTTAAAATTTATTATGTTTCATTTCCCTTTATGATGAGCTGGAATGAAACCTCTCAAAAACAAAACAAATGTACATATAGTTTTTAAGGAAGCTCTTTGATTGAGTGGGTCCTAGCCCTCCCAAGCCCACCTATAGCCACAACCCTTCGTAGAAGAGTAGATTTATTAAGCCCAAAGTGTTTCGCTTCATAAAAACAAAACAATCACAGAAACAGAACACAATAATTATTTCCAACTAAATAACAGATCTAATATAATCCTAACTACAAAGAAAAAAGAAACACACACACACACACAACACACACACAAACACACACTCAAGGAAAAACACATAAAAAGAGTGGACCTAAACTGTTCATATTGTCTATTAATGACCTTGTAAATGTATCTCATCTACTTGGTACAGTTTTATTTGCAGATGATACCACATTGTTTTATTCAGGATTAAATATACATGAAGTAACTCAAGTAATGAACAGTGAACTGATTAAAGTTAAAAAATGGTTTGATATTAATAAACTATAGTCATTGAACCTGAATAAAACAAACTTTATACTGTTTAACACATGGACATAATTTTCCCTTTAGAAGTGAGGGGGACACGGGGGGGGGGGGGGGGGGGTAATCTTTACAGTATGCTCTAATGGGAAACGGGCTTCAACACAAACGTTTGTTTTCCGCTTGGTCCTAGAGCTCAACCAGTGTCAATTTAATATAGCGTAATGTTGATTTTGGATGGTAAAAAGTGCAGGGGTCAAAACTTGACTTTGGAAAAAGTGGGGGGGGGGGGGGGACATGTCCCCCCTGTCCCCCCCCCCCCCCAAAATTACGTCCATGGTTTAACAACGAAAGAAGCTGTGATGTATCTTTAACGATAGATGGAATGGAAATTCAAAGAGTAAAAGAAACTAAATTTCTTGGAGTCACGACTGATGAGAGACTCACTTGGAAATCACATATAAGTTATATAAAGGAGAAGGTTGCCAAAGCTGTAGCAGTATTATATAGTCAAGTTTCTCCTACATTGGTCTGAGTTATTGACGTTGTATCACTCCCTGATTAAACCATATTTAATTTATTGTTTGGAAATTTGAGGAGCCACATTCAAAACTTTTATGCAACCTTTGTTCATTTTACAAAAACGAGCATTGAGGATCATTAATAACAGTAAATATAGAGATCACTCTAATCCATTATTCATTAGATATAAAATACTGAAATTTCCTGACATGGTAGAGTGGAAAATATTGCAAATAATGTACAGAGCGAATACGAGTATTTTACCAACTAATATTCAGCAAAATGTTTCAAAGTAAGTGGGTACATGTTAAAAGTGATTGATGTCTTTAAAAAACCTAAATTCAGAACCAAAATGAAGGAATGTAATATTTCTGTAAATGGTGTAAGATTGTGGAATGCCCTTAACAAAGAAATTAAAGAATCTGCTGCAGTCATACCAGCGCATGGACGCACCATCTCTGCTTCACCTCCTCCTGAACTTTGATCTCCTGAACTTATATATATATATATATATATATATATATATATATATATATATATATATATATATATATATATATATATATATATATATATATATATATATATATATGATAAATGATAAATGACCCGCACTTGTATAGCGCCTCTCAGAGTAAGGACTCCAAAGCCCTTTACACTACAGTGTATCATTCATCCACTCATTCATACACTGATGGTGATGAGCTACGATGTAGCCACAGCTGCCCTGGGGTGCACGGACAGAGGCGAGGCTACCGAGCACAGGCGCCACCGGTCCCTCCGACCACCATCAGCAGGCAAGTTGGGTTAAGTGTCTTGCCCAAGGACACGACAGCAGAATTCTCTGTCCGGAGCCATGATCGAACCTGCAACCTTCCGATTACTGGACAACCCGCTCAACCTGTTGAGCTACTGCTGCCCCCATACAGTATATGTGCAGAAATATATTCTGTTGGAGATGTTTTATATATTACTGTCTTAAATGCTCCTTTTTAAGTAATCATATGTTAAGGTTGGTTTATGCTTGACGCGTCCGCGAGGTCCGCACGGCTCCGCGCGGAAAAGTTGCATCATTTTGCGTCATTTTAACAACCACGCCCCTCCACCGCGTCTCCGCACGGCCCAAGATTTCCGCAACGCGCACCTCGGAAAATTTCTAACCACGCGGACGGACGGACGCGGAAAAACATGGCGAACCGGCAAGAAATAGTATGGCAGAGGTTCGTAAATACAGACATTTGTATGATTCAGCTCTCAGAGATCACCGTGATCAACATGTTGTTAATAATTCTTGGAGAGAAATAGCTCGCACTGTCGGAAAAGCCAAGGGCGCTGTTAAAAATGCTGAAGTGCCATGTTGTAAACAGTCATTTCTACTTCTACTATGGTGTAGTGTTGGATGCATGCCGTAGAGCTCCATGCTGCCCCGTTCAATTTGGGAGAATATTGGCTCACCGCAGAGACGAGCCGCATGAACCATAAACGCTGCGAGTTGTGAAGCGCGTTCCATCCGCGAGCCGCATCACCAAGCAGAAAGTGAATGCGTCAAGCATAAACCAAGCTTTAATAATGGGCCATTCCCATCTGTACCGGGTCGGCCCGGGCCGGGTAGCCCCAGTCGGCCCCAGCCTGGCCCGGTTGATTCCACACATCCTTGTCTTAAGCCCATGTGGGCTGATTCTACCCACCAATCAGAGGCTTGCTCTAATGGAAGGTGTGAATGGGCTGATTCTACCCACCAATCAGAGGCTTGCTCTAATGGAAGGTGTGAATTTGCTGTCAGCAGTGGGCGTGTTGGCCCTGGTCGGCCTGAAGCAGTACCCCTCGGGAAGAGGGCCGAGAATGAGCCTTGGTTGGCCCGGGAAAATTCCAGGCCACCCAGATATGTAAACAACCTACGCTACCCGGCCCGGGCCGACCCGGTACAGGTGGGAATGGGGCTTAAGAAAGCCACAGAGTTCTTTCTCCTTCTCTATTACTGTGGAATGCGGCAGATAAGCCCTGATGTTTGTCTGCATGGGGGTTGGGAAGTAGCCTGCCTAACAGGTATCCATGGTTACTGAGTTTCTGGCTGTCAGTCATAAATTAAGACTTCCTTTCTGGAATGGTCTGCTTGGCAACAGGGAAGCTAGCAGTCACCCCTGCAACTTGAGACTTCCTTTTTAGAAGGTCCCGCCTTAGATAGAAGCAACAGTGTTTGCTATTGGTTAAGTGTGGACAGTGATGGATTGTTCTTTGTCTCTGTCTGTGTTTCAATAAAACCAGCTGAAGATAGAGAATGCCCCAGAGAGTTTATTGGAACAGGGCCTGAACCCGGTTCTGAGCCAGTCTCTCTCTCTGCTGTCTCCTCACAGCGTAAAAAACCTACTGACTTCCTCTTCTGTGTGGTTCATTTCAGGGTTAAGTCTCAGGATTTAAAAATACCCAACATATTCCTTTTAGCTTTATTAAGATAATGAGGCTAAATTGTTAACGGCAACCAAAGTGTGGATTCAAATAGTCTCCAACCAATGGCGCTATTTCCTCCCCTCCTTGTTAATTTTGTGTCTCAATTTGATATGAATGAATGAATGAATGAATGAACCTTTTTCAAATTTACATTATTATAACAGTAGTATCATTGTACACATATAGGTTATGAAATGGAACAATTGAAATTGTAATGGATTGAAGCCACTGCTTATTTTCTCCATTCCAAGTATCATCATGTTACATAGAAACAATTATGTAGGATAAAAATTAAATAAAATACAAAGGTTTTAAAAAATAAGAGAAAAAATATTACAATTAAAAATTCAAATATAAAAATATAATAATTATAATAGTGAAATATAAAAAATGAAATAAAATATAAAATAAAGCTAAGGCATAAAAATAAAACATTCAGACCAATACAATGAATTACAAATATTAATGGAATGAAAGGAAAGAAAAAAATATGCTAAAAATCAAGGCTTGTTACTTTTATACTGCTGTGTGATTATTTTAGATTGGATAAGTAATCCTGCTATGAGATACATTTGCATTGTTATTTGTGAGTTGTTCATTTGTTATGTTTTGGTATGAATTAATAATGTTGTCTTTGTAGTTGTTTTAAAAGTGACTGATTGTCAGACAGATTTTTTGTTCCTAATCCAGTGAGTTCCAAAGTTTAACGCCTTTTATTGATAAACTCATTTGCTTCAGAGTTGTTCTACAGAATATTTGTTGAAAATCTGACTGTTGTCTTTGTGGTGTCTCTCTTGAATTAGATTTGAAATATTTGTGAACATTATTTGGTACTAGTTTGTATTTGACCTTGTATATGACCAACAGAGTGGAGGGGTTTACATTGGTATGTTCTCCGTAATGTTTTTCATGAATGATTCTTACAGGTGATATCTTGTAACTAGCTGGATTTTGCACTTTGACTCCATACAACCATTGTGTTTAACACTGTAACATGATTAAAGTTGTATTTGTGTTTTTAGCTAAATACTGCGTGTTAGAGCTGCTTCCCCATCTCATTACAATATGTCAACGTTTTATTTTGAAGGACTGGGCAGAAGTTTCTTATTCTAATATCAAAACACCTCATTGGTCAGTTTACATACACCCACGGAGAACTGACCAATAGGTGACGACTTTACTTGTTGGCGGGTAGCGATTGTCTTCCGGGTGTCGCAAATGCGCGTTACATTAATGTCTTACAACTACAAAGGATTGTGAGTAGTTGTAGTTGCAGATTTTATTTTAGCGATTTATAAACCACCTTGTATCGAAATTTTGTATCTCGAGGAAGCTTAAATTTCATATAAGAAAAACAATTTTACCGGAAATGAACAGTAAGTCACCAAGTTTGATAGTGGTGGTTATTAAATAAGCTAATGTTGTTAGCTCACATCTAGCTGATGGAAAGGAAAAAGAGCATTCAGCTTTTTTATTTAAAACTCAATTAACACGATTTTTCTGGTATGAATTGTTCAAAGGTCTGATTGTTGTTACTGCAACCGCTTTAAACTTGCTCCATCAACTGTGATCTGCCCAGTTAGCCACATATGCTAACCATCGACATAAATATATAGATGCTAACCCGGCTAGTTGGCTACAAACCCCTCTAAGCATTTGGTAAAGTCTCATCTCACTGAGCTAACTTTTTTTTTTTCCACAGGAATGTGTCAGCGTGTAAAAAACAATTGCCTTTAAGTGTTAGGATTTGGCTCATATAAGTTAAACAGATTTGTAACAAAGGCAAGTTGACTTGCATGGGAAAATATTACTTCTTGCGTAAAAAATAAAAAATTAATCTCAGTTTTTGTCGTTTTAATTTAAATTTTCTCTGCATGTACCTTATCCTGCAGAACCAGACAACAGTTGACATCCTCTAAGGTGGATACTCTTCTTTCTGGTCATTAAAATGGTAAGCAGTGTGTAAAACTTTGAGCTGACACACTACTGGTTTATTTATTTCTATTACAGAGTATTAATAATCCTCTTTCTTGTTTCTGTTGAACTTTACAGATTCGCATAGCAGCTCTGAACGCTGCTTCAACAGCAGCAGATGAATCTCAAGACCCACAGAGAAGTAACAAGAGTCAGACAAAAGAAGCTCAAGTACTTAAAATATGAAGATGAATATTGATTTTAATGTAGATTCTTTAAACACAATAAGTCATTTTCCATTTGTACCTTTTGTGTCTGTTCAAAGGAAGCAGAGGCTTTTGCGTTATACCACAAAGCATTGGATCTTCAAAAACATGACAAGTTTGAAGAGTCTGCCAAAGCTTATCATGAGCTTCTTAAAACTCCACTACTCAAAGAGGTAAAAGGAAATGCAGTAAAATTTTGTAGCCACAATATTGTCATTATAAAGCAGGTTCATTTTTAAAAGATGACTAACATTTAGATGCACAGTTTACACAAACAATTTGATTGTTTTCATAACACTGGTCCGATTTCACAGGTAGTGGTTGTGATCTGAGCTGAGATTGTTTTCATAGACAGTTGGAGGGTTTCATTGGTTACCTGTTTGGCTTTATTAGTAGAGAGTAGGAACCCACAGGAAGAATCTGACAGTATGATGATCCATCCATCCATTTTCCAGGATGTTTTGCAGCTATAATGTTATTTTAATGATTGATGAAAGCATAGTTTCTCTTTCACTTCTGCAGCACATTATGCTGCACACGAAACCAAACACACATTGTTTCATTAATGGTGCACACAAGGAGAAAGAAAGTGAAAATGTCATTGCATCCATCCTTCAAGCGATGGCCAAGTGATGTTTTAGTGTTTTCTCATTAAAAATATCTGTTGACTTCAATATTTTAGACAAATAAAAGTTTCATGTGGCCTACTCCTCCATGTATCCTACTGCAGGAGGAAGAGAGGTTGAGCATTTGTTCATAAACTGCATCCAACTTTCCTGATTTGTCTGTAAAATTTAAAGTTTGCGCTTATTGCTAAATAAACAATAGTGATTGTTCATGGAGCTGAAACACAACACCGTTAATGTCAAATCTAAGTAATCCTGTTATTTTTAGGCTCTTCCTTCAGAAGATCAGAGAGTGGGTCTCAAACATCCTGGGCTCATGCTGAAATATTCAACGTTTAAAAACCTGGCTAGCATGTCTGCATCACGTGATGACCTGGAGACGGCCATGGAGTTTTATCTGGAGGTAAAACAACATTTGTTATTCTAAGTGTGAGTTTCGTGTGTGTGGATCATTTTTATATTGTGTGCCCATTTTGATGAATACGAATGATACTGATGATGTGAATGTTTCATACATCATTTATTTTTTGCTCATCTCAGGCAGTCATGTTGGATTCCACCGATGTAAACTTATGGTACAAAATTGGCACGGTCGCCGTGCGTCTGGTGCGCATCCCTCTTGCACGTCATGCATTCGAGGAGGGATTGCACTGCAACCCGGATCACTGGCCATGCCTGGACAACCTCATAACTATCCTCTACACACTAAGTGATTACACCTGTACGTGAGGTGTCTTCAAAAGCTCATTACTTATTAGCAAAGAGAAAAGTAACCATCATCTTCATTTCCTTTAGGCTGTTTGTACTTCATTGCCAAAGCTCTAGAAAAGGACCACTGCTACACTAAAGGCCTGGTGTTAAAGGAGAAAATCTTTAAGGAGCAGCCGTGTTTGAAGCAAGATACAATGCAGATGTTTGTGAAATGGTAGAGACGAGTCACATTTTAGTTCTCACTGTTTTCCTGATGTTCTCTAGCTGTAACTCTGCTCTTTCACATCACCTCACCCTCGTATTTTCTGTGTGGATTGTTTTTCAGCAATGTGTCTGTTCACTATGTGGAGGTGGAGGAAGAGGAGCGCAGGGCCATCGTGGAGGAGGCGCTGGAGATCAGGAGGCGCAGGCAGACACTCTCTCTGTGCAAACCCAAACCTGACCTGATCCTGGTTCAGCCCATTCGCTCTCTCTCGTTAGTTCATGTTTGGGGTTTTGAGCCAATCGTGATTTATTTTGTTGTTTAGAATTGCAATCAACTTCTGTCAGTAAGTTGTTAATAATGTGTTCTGTGGTGAAACATATCTCATTTAAAATATATATTTTGATATGTATACATATGTGGTTGTTGCTGTATCATTTCATCTGTAAATCAGCAGGTCCTCCTCTGTCTCATCTTAGATGGAGGCATGTTGGTGAAAGCCTCGTTGCCATGTTTAAACACCAGACCACATGTGAGCCGCCGAGGCCCAGTCTTGGTCAAAGAATCGACTTATCTGAATACCGGGACCCAAACTACTTCCAGAACCTCCCACAGCCGAGTAGTCCTGTCAGTATAGGTCACCCGGCAGTGCTGAGCAGCCCCAGTTCATCCCTGCCTCCAGTTATCTTCCCTGAGTCGGCAGCTCTGCTTCAGACTGGTTCTCAACTTCAAATGACCATGGGCCAGGCCACTGTGGAGGTCACCACCTCTGCCCCTCCTACGGGTTAGCCATCGTGTTTCCTGCCAACCTAAATGTTTTCAGAAATATTTTTCCTTGGTCATCTGTAAGTATGTTATTATTTGAAATATGTTTTTGCATTTCCAGCTACAGGGATGGATATTTCTCTGACCGATAAAGTGAAGAAAGCTCCAAAAAGGAAACGTGGGATGGAGGAAAGTGGGGAAACGGCCAAGCGTCGCTCTGCTCGTGTTCGAAACACAAAATGCAAAAAGGAGGAGAAGATTGATTTTCAGGAACTGCTTTTTAAATTCCTGCCTTCCAGGTAGCTTGAACTAAATCTGATACAGTGGTCATTTCAGGATATATTTTTATTAGTAATTTTTTTGTATGTTTTAGGTTGAGGAAGTTTGATCCTGATAACGATGACGAGAGTTTGGGTAATCTTGAGACTCCGTGTGATGGGAAGGAGAACATCCAGCCTCTCCATGGCAGCTGCTTACCAGCTGACACGGTTGAATACATGGAATGTGGTACGTGATTCGTGTTCACGGCACGTGTTCTTCTGTGCTTTGATTTTAAATGGACTCTGCTTTCTGGTTTTCATAGAGCAACAGGACGTCCATAACTTCTTGCTCCATAACATGACCAACGGTGGGATACTGGATCTGATGATGCGCTACCTGAAAGCAGTCGGTCAGAAGTTCATGGAGGAGTGGCCTCGGGGCCTGGCTGCTGTGGTGCTGGAGGTCTATCAGTCCTGGAGGAAGCACAGCTGTGGACTCCCAAACCCGCTCCTACGGGACTGCAGCAACCAACACATCCGGGTAAATACCAGGGAAACGGTTCCATTTTAGGATTTCATTAACTTTCTCTCAACTAGACTGAATGTTTATGGTTTTCCACTAAAGAGCAAGTCACCCTCCTACCACAGTCTAACTCCACTCCCATTTCTTGTTTGAAAAATGCGCCACAAGGAGGCATTGCCTGGCAGACCGAGAGGGCGGAGCTGCTAACGAATACACACACAGGCTCACAGTGGCATTGTGGCATCTTATGGTACCAGTTAACGTCGTAGGGTACCTCTTAGCCAATAGCGATGGCAGATTTAAATTCAAATGCAGTGCAGATTTCTTACCTGAAGGGGGCGCAACACTTATAATTTTAGGCAGAATATTTAAATTTGAGCTAAGATCCACTTAAGTGTCTAATTATTGACTACATGTGCCTACAGCACGATTAGACACCTATTTATATAGTTTATCAGCAAAACAAAGTGGATTTGGGGGTGACTTGCTCTTTAAGAAGAATCTGGCAAAGAGAATGACTTAAAAAAAGAACAGGTGTTTTTTAGGTAATGACCTTTTTAAAAGAAAAAAAAATTGTTTTTTGAATGAAAGTTGAACCGACGTCTTTTCTGGCCATGACATTGTTTCATTTGGAAGTTTAATCATTAAAATTTAGGCTTCTTATTACTGTGTTACTATAAATAAATATCATTACAGTAATAAAATATCATTAGTGGAATAAAAAACATTTCCGAATGCCATCTGAGTAGAAAACTCTGCCTGGATTTGAACCCGGATCCCCAGCGTGTAAAAAAGATGCCGTACCATTTGAGCTATCTCTCTGACGTCACCTAGTTGACGTACACTTACAACATGCTATATGTTTATGTTTATTCATTTAACAGACGCTTTTATCCAAAGCGACTTACAATTTATAACCTATAGGGCATGTTGTGATCTGTGGGGGAAACCGGAGGAAACCCACACATGCATGGGGAGAACACGCAACTCCACGCAGAAAGGCCGCAGCCGAGCCCAGTTTTGAACCTGCAACCTTCGTGCTACGAGGCAACAGTGCTAACCACTGCGCCACCATGCAGCCCACATATGTTAAACTACACCTAATTAGTTGTCTAAATATCAATTATACATGTAGCTGTAGACATGTACAAATATATCTGAATGGATTTTTAGGGAATTTTTTGTTACATATGTTTTAACTAATTTCAGACGTCCGACAGCGACCATTTTTAGCCGTGGACCCTGTATTATTGTCCCGACTATTGTTTGCTGTTAGTGTCAACCGGCGCAGCCATGTTTGTTTTGCTTGATACTATCATCAAAACTAAGTCCCATCCTAAAGCACAATACTGACACACGATTGGTCCGGCCTGTTTTAGGCTGGAGGTCGGACGGTTTGAACTGGAGCGTTACAAGATGGATTCTCCTGAGTTTGGAAAACTCCAAATCTTGCGAGAATTCATCTTGCAACGCAAGGGTAGCCAGGAACACTACTGTCATTTGTCACTCTGTACCATTTATTTTTCCTTCCCCCTGACTTACTGAAAGTGTGTTTTCTACACACACAGGAAATGTTGACAATGAGCTTGGCCTGCATGGAGCTGCAGCTGGAACAATGGTTACACAACAAAGGGAAGATCAGTAAGTCTCACTGACATCACATTAGACTGATTATTCACTGATTAAATCTGGTATCTCTTCAATAAAACAAAACATCAAAACTTGAATGTTAAAAAATGGTTTTTGCTTCATGTCTATTCATTTTCCAAAACTTGTTAACTTACTGTCTGAAAGAGTTCTTTGGTAGTTGCTAAAACTAAACAGAAACATAAATGATTGTATTGATTTTAATTATCTGTGTTTTAGGGCTGTAACAATATTGGCAATATCGCGATATCGCCGTAGTAAAATGGCCACAATGTTGCTGTGGTTTTGTCACAATATTGTACAGTACATCTTGAGGTAAAAATAACACTTTTCACTGCTCCACAGGAGCATAGCAAAGTAAACTACATAGACCATGATCCTTTGCGTCCGCGTCATTGGCCAGTTCACCAATAGGGAGCGTAAGTCACTTCATGCAAGTCAATAGGGCTAAAAACACTATTTTCTAATTGCGCTTGTTTTGTGGCATGGATTTCACATATGATGTCCGTAAATTTTAAAGACACATTTTGATACCAAAAACTTGCTTATTTTCGAACGGGGAGGGATGCTATTTTAGGTTTTGTGTGAAAATAAGTTCAGGACTACAAATGCACTTCATGAAAGTGACTTCATCGAACCAGACACGAAGAAAACTGAGGGAAAAGGGCTGTAAGTTCAGCAAACTTCCCACAGGTGACTGTGCATCCTCCTGTCTCCCACTGCCTTGGGGGGTGCCACAAGGTTCCGTTCTCGGGCCATTGCTGTTTTTTATCTACCTTCTGCCTCTGGGCAAAATCCTGAATCCACACAGCCTGAGCTATCACATTTACGCTGATGACTGTCAATTATATGTAGCAGTGGATGAGAAGAATGCGGGCTCGCGATTGGCTGCATATTTAGACGACGTGAAGGGCTGGCTGGCATCCAACTTCTTAAAGTTAAATGAAAGGAAGGCTGAGTCTATTGTTTTTGACCCCCACAACCACCATGGCTCTCACCAGGGTTTCCCCCGGGAAATGAGTTAAGCCTGGCGGCTTCGGCCGTTGGGGTGGGGTCGCACGCTTCGTCCCGCAGCGCTTCTCCGTAAGAACGGGGGGGGGGGGGGGGGGGGTTGCACACATTTTGCTGCTGTTTCTCACCAGTATCAGCTAATGGAGGGCTCTAGTTTCGTTGCGCTGTTTGTGTCATCCAACATGGTAAGGTCGAGGAGGGGGGCGGGGCATGACGCTTAGCTTGGCGGGTGGGCAAGCAAAGCCAGGCGGGCCACCAGGCTTATAAAGCGCTGGGGTAACCCTGCTCTCACTCTGTTTGTGACCTTTTAACCTTCAACCCCAAACAGTGCGTGACAAGTCTCGGGGTAAAGCTAGATGCTGAACTCTCAATGGCCCCACAGATAAACTCCGTAGTGGGGTCTTGCTTTTATCAGCTTCGCTGCTTTACTTGCCTCAGACAATTCTTGAAACTGAGGCGTTTGGAATCAGTCATCTACGCCTTCATTACCTCTCACCTGGTCTTTGCAAACGCCCTCCTAGTTGGTGCTCCGGTCTCTGCCCTGAATCGGCTGCAGGTCGTCCAGAACATTGCTGCCAGGTTCTTGACAAATACACACCGACGTAGCCATATTACCCCTGTCCTGGTACATCTTCATTGGCTCCCTGTCATTTTCAGAGTACAGTTTAAGTTATTGACTTTTCTATTTAAAGCACTCAATGACGTGGCACCTCCCTATCTCCCTGACCTGCTCACTCCCTATGTACCTACGTGCACGTTGAGGTCGGCTGACCTCCTGCTGCTGTGAACGCCCCAGATGCGATACAAATCGCGGGGTGAACGATCATTTGGGCATGCTGCCCCAAAGCTGTGGAACTCGTTACCCATTGGAGTTCGGCAGGCTCTATCATTGGTGGTTTTTAAGACCCACTTCTACGATGTGGCTTTTAGACAGTAACTCGTTTTAGTGTTTTATTGTGTTCTTAGTATTCCTCATGTTTTATCTGCTTTTGATTAGTGTTTTTATCTTCTGTTTTAGTTGCTTAGATTGGTTGTGTTTTGGTTTAGCCTGTGCAGCACTTTGGGCAGCTCCCATGCTGTGTTTTAAACGTGCTATATAAATAAACAATGGTATGGTATGGTGGGAGGAAAGAACCACCATAAATCTGGTCATTTGGTAAGTAGCAGCTACTTTGGGGAGAGGAGATTATGTGGTGACGTCACATATGCCTTGTGCTGATTTCTAGTTTGTAGTCATGCTAATTACGGACTTTCACAAGCGAATAAATCTCAAAGTACGTGACTGGCGTGGTCGAAACACCCATCATCACTTTTCGTTTAAATTTTAGTACAACATATGTGAGATCCAGGGCACAAGGCTAAGCGATTAGAAATAGCGTTTTAGCCCCGTTGACTTGCATTCATTTTTTCATTCTTCCGGGGACCCATGATGCGGAAGTGACTTAGCCTCCCTATGGGAGTGCGTGCAGCCCACACAGCCTGGCATTTTTAGTGTCTGGGTATTTTTATTTATTGAATGGGCTGTTTTTATAATGCCTTTATTTTGATTGTTATTTCCGTTCCTGTGTTGCCATTTCTTTTATAAACATATGTCGAGTTGTTACTTGAATTTTGCACTTAATGGCTTTTCAGGCTGTTCAAAATGTCATAATGATAATAAGTTAATGACAAATGCACCAATGACCAGTGAAAGTATTTTATGTTGTGAGTCTTGTTATTGTGAGCCTCCCCACAATATTGCAATAAATATCGTACCGTGAGGTTCATATCGCGACGATATTGAATCGTGAGATTTGGATATTGTTACACCCCTACTGTGTTTATATGTCTAGTTCCCCCAAAGAGAGGCTTGGGAGCTCTAAGCAGCGATGTAGCTGATGAGAGACTTCCTGGCCAACACTTCCAGAGTGACTTGTTGCTCCTGGCTCTGGGTTCTTCCCAAAGAGATTTATTTGAAGATGATTGGTTAGATGTGATGACACGTGTGTACTGGCTAAAGGCACGATTCCTAGCCCTACAGGTAGGGTCTACATCTCTCTGGTTTGTGTGTTCAGTGTTGAGTGTTCCCTGTAAGCCTGTGCTTCTTCTGCTTTTCACAGGGAGACATGGACTTGGCCCTTGAGAGCTATGATGTTTGTGTGGGCCTTTTGCAGAGCAAACAAAAGACCCCTGATGGCAAACATTACACGGTCAACCTGCCTAACCTGCGTGTAGATGCAGCCATATCAGTAGAAGAGGTCCGTGAGCTAATTTATTTGATTTATTATTTCTAATCAGCTGATAAACTGAGACGGTTTCCTCTCTCCACAGATTGATAAGAGGCTGAAGTCACTGGAGCGGTGTCAGTCTTTAGAGGAGATCCAGCGCCTCTTTGAGTCTGCAGACTTCGAGTCTGTCGTTCGTCTGCTGCAGCCAACTCTAAATTATGGAAACAGGAGTAAATCTCTGGAGTTTGTGAGCTCGACACCGGAGCGCCCGGCACAGTTGATGCTACTGCAGGTTTGAACTGCTCCCCTTAAAAAATAAACGTTCTCCACTTCATAAACAAGTTCCAAAGATCTGTAATTCTGTTGTTTTAATTAGTCAGAATGTTGGATATGATGAATAGCCTCACCATCACCAGGTATCGGGGGTTTCTGCTGGGTAAATGCGGTGATATCAGTAGGGCCTCCTCGTATGGTCTGAGTTTGATCTCGTTGTCCCAGAACTCCCTGTTGAAGCTGCAGGACCACCAGCAGTGTTTGGAGTGCAGCGAGCTGGCTCTAAACGAGGCTCTGCAGCAACTCAACGCCGCTCCAGACGGCTCTTCCCCCAGCAAGGAGGAGTGGGTCAGCATCATCGGAAAGTTACTGGATGGAATCGACGTCTGCTTAACCAAAGACTCTAAGCTTCTGAGCAATTTGCCTCATCTGTCTAGCGTGGCTCGACTAGCCAACAACCTGATTCAGGTTTGGCAGGAGTGGGAGGAAACGGCAGCTAAAATATGATGGAAATTTGAGAATTTATTGTTTGCTTCTGTTATACAGCTCATAGATCTCAGCATGAGTATGTCAGATGATCCCAAAGAGCTGTATTTCTTCTCGGTTGTGCCTTGGATAATCCTGTACCGCATTATCAAACACGAGGAGGCCGCTTTCGACTGTATGCTCCAACAACACGTGTCTTTAGACGACGATGAAGGCATGTTGTCCGTTTTTCTGTCCTTTAGCTTCACCTCGGTGCTAATACCCATTGTTCCTTTTGGTGACTCGTAGTTTTTCTTGATTTTCCAGATGAGTCAGACACTCCCATGCTTCCCTCCTCCCTGATGCTGCTGAGTACAGCTCATGAGTATCTTGGTCGTCGGGCTTTATGCTGCAGTTCAGACGGTGCCCTCATCAAGTTCTTTGTAAGATTCCTTTTCTTAACTAATAGTGTAAAATACAAACATGGAGCCATTTAATGACTATTCTGTCTACTTTAGATCGGGGTTTTGGAAAAAGAGTTTACCACTACAGCCAATATTGACTCCCATCCTTATAAAGAAGAGCTGGAAATGGCCTTGGAGCAATGCTTCTTCTGCTTGTATGCCTACCCCAGTAAGAAGAGCAAGGCCCGGTACCTGGAGGACCACTCTTCTCCACAGGTCATTAATTAATTAATTAATAATTATCATTTATTGCATGATTTAGAAGGGACCCACCCCATCAGATATTAGTCTGCTGGTTATTTAGATAAAGTCCCATTAGGTGTGTGTACGAAATTTATTCTCCGCATTTGACCCATCCCCTGGGGGAGCGGTGAGCTGCAGAAAAGCCGCGCTCGGGAACTATTTGGTGGTTTAACCCCTCAATCCAACCCCTTAATGCTGAGTGTCAAGCAGGGAGGCATTGGGTCACATTTTTTCAAAGTCTTTGGTATGACCCGACCAGGAATCGAACCTCTGATCTCCCAGTCTCAGGGCGGACACTCTACCACTAGGCCACTGAGAAAGGTTGTCTCATTTACCCGACACATTACTGAGCAGTTCTTTAAACGTGATGAAGAGGTGGCTCGTTTAGTGTTTCTTATCCCTTTTAGCAAATTATATAAGACCTACTCCCCTGTATCCGTTTTGTTAGTCAGGGACGCTCGGTAGGTGTCAGCTAAAGGCATTCAGGCTGTAGGAATTATATTATTTGATGGATTTAGAAATGTAAAGGTTTTAGCCACACTTTCTAGTTTATAGACGTCGCTACAGGAAGTCTTGTCCTCAGAGACGGTCTGATTCTCTAAAAATGTTTAATTAGAGTGATTCATTGCAGCATACAGCCCCCAATCCCAGTCACTTTATTTTTGTCACTCTTGTGACCAACCACTAGTGGGAGGTGTTGCTTTTAGAGCCTTTTATCCTCTTAGTTCAGCAGAATAAAACTGGTTTAGAGCTGCAACTGTCCTTCTGAAAAAATAACATTTATATTGTTTGAAGAATATCTACAGAAAAAGGACAGAGAGACACTGAAAAAAGGTCTTCATTTACCTTCTGAGAGTAAAATGAGATTTCTGGGGGGAAAAAGGTTAGAACTCCGAGATTAAAAACAGGAGTCTGACTTTAATCTGAGATTAAATTCAGGAATCTTTTGTCTCTTCCATAAATATTTATAGTAGGACATTTGTTGTCATTTTAGTTTCTATTATTAAGTTTTAAAAATAAGGAGAAAAAAATGTCCAGCTTTTGAAAAGTTTATGTATTTTCCCCCAGTGGGATGTTCTATATTGCTGGTATTTATATTTCGGGGGGCGGGGGGTTATAATTTTAGTGAGGGTAATTAAGTCAGACTAGAAGATCCAAAGAGAAATGTGTGGTTGCAGAGCTACAGGCTGCAGATCTCTGAACTATGGGACAGTATTTCTGACTGTAAATGTACAAAACCACAGTTCTGCAGAAAGTCATTGGTTTTTTTTTTTTTTTACTCACACACATGCACACACACACACACACACACGCTAATGACGTGGTTGTGATGGAACTGCTTCACGTTCTACAGGTCGAACTCTTGTGGAGCGATGCCCTCTTCATGTTCCAGTATTTCAAACCAAAGTCGTTGCCGGAGTTCGACAGCTACAAGACCAGCACCGTGTCTGCAGAACTGGCCAATCTGCTGAGAAGATTTGCCACCATCGCTCCCCCGAGTGACACTCCCGTCCTCACCATGGAGGAAGTGGCTGCCTACATCGAGGGCTTGACAGATAAGGTCAGCAGGGGCTCGTCGTATGCATGTTTCATACATTTTATGGAGTTTGTAATTGCAAATTATTATTTTGATCTCTTTAAGGCCCCGTGTCTTCCTGCGGGCAGTGCCCCCCCACCTCCGATCATCAATGAGATTTACTACCTGCTGGCTGATTACCATTTCAAGAACAAGGAGCAGTCCAAAGCCATCAAGTTCTACATGCATGATATCTGCGTGTGTCCCAACAGGTGGCTCAGCGCTGCACCCGTCTACTAAATCCTGTCATCTCTGTTCTCCCTTTAAGGACTCCACTTTGTTACTTTTCTGAAATCAAAGGCGTAGCCGTCCTCAAAGGAATTCACATCATTGTTTCAAACTAAAATGATCTTTTGTTGAAATTCTTTGGTCATTTCATTTGTTTTTCATCTTGGTCGTTTAATCGAGTTAGATGTGTTGTTTCCTTGTCTTTGTTTTTGTGTGTTTTCTAGAAAAGCCAAACTGAAGTTTTCATTGACATCTGTCTTTAGATTTGACTCCTGGGCAGGTATGGCGCTAGCCAGAGCCAGCCGGATCCAAGAAAAGCTCAATTCCAATGAGCTGAAAAGCGACGCGCCCATTTGGAAGCACTCCCAGGCCATCCTTAAGTGCTTCAAGAGAGCCCTGGAGATCGACAGCTCCAACCTGTCCCTCTGGATCGAGTACGGAACTATTTCATACGCGCTGCACTCATTTGCCTCACGACAGCTCAAACAGTGGCGAAACGAGCTCCCCCCAGATGTTGTTAAGCAGGTGAGGTGTGAGCTGCCCGTTTATTATCCCGTGACAGCTTCAGATCGTGTCAAGCGTGTAACAGTCTCACTGAACCACTGTCATGCTCTGTTTCAGCGTTTTTCTAGAGGGAATTGAGGTGTGGCGCTAATATAAATGATTAGAAAGCTTTTGTCGTGTTGTTTCAGATGGAGGAGAGGAGAGACTCCATGTTGGAGACGTCTCTTCAGTGTTTCCAGGGTGCCTCCCGCTGTGAGGGTGACAGTGATGAAGAAGAGTGGCTCATTCACTACATGCTGGGGAAGATAGCAGGGAAACGCAGAAAGGCCCCAGTGGAATATCTGCAGCTTTATAAAGAGGTAAACCACCGCATCGCTCATTCGGATGAAATCTGCAGCTCCTTCCTGGTTTCTTATCGATTAAGGCTGAGGGGTTCGTAACATTTAACTTCAGAGGGAATCCACTCGACCCGCCCTACAAGAGGATCAGTCAGCCTGATCTGGTATCAGCTGCAGCACTAGGGAAAGTCATCACTGTTTAACTGAGACTTGGGCCTAGTCCACACGTAGCCGGGTTTTTTAAAAACGAATATCCGCCCCTCCAAAAACTTGCATCCACACCACCTCGTTTAAAAAAAACTGTCCACACGTACCCGGATAAATACGTTGTTAAGGACATGCCAGACCTGTAGGCGGCAGTACTTCCCCCGTTCTTAACCTCGTCCTTCGTCTGTGGTCTTCCGCAAGGAGCAGTAATTCGGCTTGCAAAAACAAACAAGCAAAAAGCGCTTGGACAACTGATAAAGCGAGCGCAGCTCTGAGGGCTTCCATGCTGTCGGCTAGTGTAAACACAGGTCGCACACGTGATGTCGGCATTTTTCTGTCGCGGAAAGTGATGTTGCGGACCTTAAAACTCCGGTTTTGTCTGTCCACACGCAGACACCCAAAACGGAGAAAACGCAGATCTTCACTTTGGCCGGAGTTTTTATAAAACTCCGTTTTCGTGTGGATGACAGGCCAAAACGTAGAAAAATATCTACGTTTTGGCAGATCCCCAGCTACGTGTGGACGGGGCCTTAAACTCTAGAGGATTTTTACATTCATTAAATACAACATTAAGTTAAAGGCCTGTTGTTTACTGGAAGAATAATATCCCAAAATGTTTGTGTTGCATATGACTCCGCTGCATTAGCTCAATATCTGTACTGATGACTGAGTCATAGCCTTTTATTAGTTTGGTGTGGCATCCATCTTGAATGGGATTGACATTAAATGGTAATTATTTGTTTGTTCAATGACTGTTACATTATTTCATTATTAAAACTACTATGATTCTGTGAGGAAATACATTATGAATGTCAGCAGTTAAGCTCAGTGATCATCATGTTTATACTTTCAACCTGAACTTCATCCGTTTGGGAGTGAGTTAATGTGAGCAGAGCCTTGGACTGGCCTGTTGACTCTCCTCTGTGCTGTTTTATAGGCGGCACACTATCTGCATGAAGAAGCAGCCAGGTACCCCCGCAAAATTCATTACCATAATCCACCAGACCTGGCAATGGAAGCTCTGGAGGTAAACTTTCACTCCAGACTTGTGATTTTTTTTTTTCAGTGGGGTGTTCCAGAAGTCCAACTCCCCTTTTCTATTTTCCTCTAGTTGCATTTTCGTCTGGGCGCCACCATCCTTAAACTGCTGGAAGCTGATGAACCTGATCTGGACCATGAGCTGTTGTTTGCCTTGCTGGTTGAGGCGGCTACAGGGCCATTTGCAAGAGGGGAGGAGAAGAGTGTGCCAAGCATACCGCGGTCTAATGAAAAGTAAGCCCTGTGAACTGAAACCAACAAGAATTTTAAAACAAATGTTTGAATTCACAGTGGGACGCCCATTCTGGTTTTTTGTTTCATTTCAGGGAAAAACCCTCCTCAATGATGGATGAAGACTTTAATATTTCCTCAGTTTGCATCGCAAACGTTCTCAGCTCTTCCCCTCCATCCGCTGCCACTCCAGGTCTGACTTCCCCTCCTTACGTGGCTACGCCATTTGACCATGATTACGCCAAACGCAAAACGCTCCGAAGGCAGCAGTGGCAGCAGCAGCGGCATGAGGAGCGGCAGGCCGATGGTACAGTCCCAGTCCTGGACACTGTCTCTGGGGTTGGGCTTATTGCCGTTTCTGCACTGGGACAGGAAGCACTGGGGTGTGCTCGGATCACTAATCACCACGCTAAGCGGCTTTGTTTTCAGTTACACTGGGTGATTGGGATGTGGTGAAATGGGCAATATGGCTGCAGATTATTTGATGAATTAGCTTTGCATGATGAAGCAGTTTCTCTGAAGTAACGGGTTTCTGGGTTGAGCTTTGCTGTGAGAGTCAGGGCTTGTGTGTTTGCATATCTGTGTGAGCATGTGATGTCGTAACATCCGTTTGTCGTGGCTGCTTTATTTTTCCTGAGCTTATTTACACAACTTCAGTAGGCAAGTTAAAAATGCTGTAGCTCACACTCCTGCTGCCTCAGAATCCTCAGAATCCACCAGCCGCTGTTATTTAGCACCTGAACAAAAAAAAATACAAATACACACTGAGACAAATATTATTGAAGTGTGTTGTTTACTTAATATTGCATGTATTTGTACAGATATTGAGGTAAAAATTCTATTTGTTACATATTTGTTATCAGGTCCACTTTTTATTCCAAGGTTTCATTCATTGTTATTCAAGTAGCCTGATTGGAAATAAGCAAATATCTTTCAAAGTTTAATACAAACATTTAAAATTATAAATGAATGAAACATTTTGATTTGAAAGTTACATTTTTAAGACGAGAACAGAAAGGTAATTTATATTTTTAGTAAATGTAGAGTTAAGAGCAGAAAATATCTATTCATGAAAATAAAAGTTAATTTTTGCATTCAAATGTGTTCTTGATGCAGACCAGGCTCATGTTTGTTCGATTCAGGCAGGTTAGGGCTTGCACTTGACGCGCTGTAATATTTTTTTATATCAGATAGATCATTTAGATCTTTTGAAGTGGGTTTCTAGGAAAAGGCTGTGAATATTTAATATCTTATTAGTTGTAGATTTGAACAATCTCAGTTTGGACACACTGGGTCATTTCTGATCAGATTGACATGCTAGCGGCTAGTCGCAGCAAGACCAAAACATCTTCAATCTCTAAAGTCAATCACCAATTAACTCTTTACATCCTTGTAGGTTTTAGAGTGCGTTGTACAAACAATTATATTATTAATTATTACTGAGTGCAGGGACACTATTGCTGATCAGAAGCGTTCTCTGATATCCAAACTGAGCTTGTTCATAACCGTTGAACTTATTTCCCAGGATCTGCAGCATCCCTTTTAGAGAAATATTCCAGCAAAGAAAGATTTAAGTTTATTTTTTATTTAAATTGAGCAAAGTGAAATGGTTACAACATGTTTACTCATTGAGAAAATTCATGGCACTTTATGGTACATTCAACAGCTGAAGCTCAAATTATGCCTGGAAAATAAAGCTTTAGTGATTATTTAAAGGCTAAGTTCACTGAGAAATCACTTTTTTACTTGTTTTTGAAATATAATGGGCCACTCTGAGTTCAATAAGCAGGCTAAACGTGACAATAGTCTTCTACCCCATTTCCCACATTAGCCCCTGGTTGAAAACAGATGGGAAAACTCTGATTAGATAAGCCAGTCAGATCTACATCACACTGAAAATTAGCGTTCATGACTCACCATCTTGGCTTGTGGCGTGGGGCGGCGGTGGCACAGGAGTTAAAGTGCTCGCCCCGTAATCGGAAGGTTGCAGGTTCGAGCCCCACTCAGTCTGTCGCTGTCGTTGTGTCCTTGGGCAAGACACTTAACCCATGTTGCCTGCTGGTGGTGGTCGGAGGGACTGGTGGCGCCAGTGCTCGGCAGCCTCGCCTCTGTCAGTGCGCCCCAGGGCAGCTGTGGCTACATTGTAGCTCATCCCCACCAGTGTGTGAATGTGTGTGTGAATGGGTGAATGACTGATTGTGTTGTAAAGCGCCTTGGGGGGTTTCAAGAACTCTAGAAGGCGCTATATCAAATACAGGCCATTTACCATTTGTTATGGGGAAGACTGTTTTTCATTTAGTGTCAAGAGAGTAGAGTGAGTCTTGACCAGCAGAAGCTAACTGTTAGCATTAGCAACTCAACCACATGGCAGAACTCCTCCAGGCTTGTGTTATTTGTGGAGCTAAAATGTCAGTGTTGCTAAGGAAACAGTCAGTGGTAGAGTCTCACTGCTGTTAGCCAATCAGAGACAAGGTGTCCAAATATCAGGCATAACTCCAAATCCTGCCATCTTCCACTCACCACTCCTATGGCGAACTTCTACTTCCTGAAACAGGAGTGTTAGATATTTTTTTTACATAAACTGACTTACAAGCCATTCATTTCTACTAGAGTCCGCTACAGGTATGTAGAAAAACAAGTGAACTTGGTCTTTTAACAAAGCAGAAACATCTGTCCACCCTCCACATCCATGTGGGATGTGTAGTTAGTGCAGATAACGCAGCCGTATTGCCCAGTTTTGTCACCCTTTCCAGATTCCTTCCCACCTACTCCCCACCCCCCCACCCACCTGCCTGCTACCTCTTTTGCCTGCTTGCTTTTACCACCTGCTTTGCCGTTTATCTGCATGTAATTCTGATGCAGTGGTTGTTTTCACAGCTGGACAACGTCAGTCCTTTGATCTCAATCCACTAAATTGTCTGCTGTGTCACATTTGATTTCAGTGTGGTGTGTGGGGAATTTCACAGAACAAGAGACGAGAGATGCTTCAAATTCTTACACGATTCATGTTTGCTCTCCTCCGAATTGGATTACTTTTCTAATTATGGTCAATTAGTGTGAAAATGCCAGGTCAGAAATCATGTGGGGGCTCCTAATTGGCACGTGACTCTGAGACTGGAGTTAGAAGAGGCCTGATTGTGCACCCTGCTGCTGGGAGGGGTCCCGTCTCTGGCTTGAGTCCTGCTGAAAGTGCACTAAGGTGACTGTTGGACCAGATTCAGACATGCATTTTCAAATGGAAACATGAACCTAAAGTTTTACGCCTAAATGTTCGCCGAGATGATCCTGACTTTAGGGTAAATATTCTGTTTTACAAACTGATGTTCAAGTTTGAATTAAGTCAACGATTTTGACTTTAAGGGTTTGTTAGAAAGCTGTGGACATTTAGTGTTTTACCTGAAGAAAATCCTTGTCTGAATTAGGTCTCATTGGGAGTGGAATTACCCAATCTGATCATTAAAGCTACTCGAATTATTTTTTAAATAAATATAGTGGTGTAAATTTGCTTTCCTATTATTTTCTTAAACCAGCTTCCCCATATCTTCAACAGCCTCACCAGGGTTTGACCATGATTACTGCCTGTCCAGGTCTGCAAAATGGCTGGCTTCCTTCCATGGTACTGCTCCTCCAGTTCACTAATGCAGTGCTCTCAGTAGGAAGCACTGAACACACAGCTGTCAGGTTACTCCACTCTTCCAGCACCATAGTAGCTTTGCCGTTGACTCATGACTGTAAAAAAAAACACACCTAGTGTGCCTCATTGTGTGAATATTAAAAGCGACCTGCTCTCTTATTAATAATTCTCTGCCAAGGATTTCTGTCGAGACTGCAGAACGTGGCAATTAGGAGGAATGCTGGCGTTTTGTTTTTGGACCTTTACAAAGACAAACCATCTCTCCTCTAGAACAATGAGCCACAAATCCTTATTAGTTATGCACTAATAAGGATGTGTTAGTGAAAGTCATTTATATGTTCTGTCTCTTGTTACAACAGGAAATGTTTGGCATTTTAAAACAAGTGTTCCCTTTAAAAAGGCCAGCACAGCTGAACATTTAAACATTCCAGTTTTCATTTCTTACTCATGGATTAGATTACGTCTCTGAAATTAAACGACGTAAAGTTTAAACATCTGTAAAACTGTCCCTTTGGTGGGGACGTAAAACATGTCCAGCACGTCCCAGGTGCTGAGATCATCTCTGTGTGCGGCCATGAACCTGGCAGAATGACCTGTTTTGTGTTGCTTTGTTTTGGCAGAGCAAAGCCAGGACAGTGAGGTGGTGTTGCTCTCTGACTCTAACTCCACCCAGGATGCCTTCATGGATCCCATCAGCTCACAGGACACCAGTCACAAACCGGCCTCTGTCAAAGCCAGTTCATCGTCCTCGGAAAGCACAACCCCTGTGAAGGACGGACAGCCTACATCCGAGGAAACAGGTAGTCCGGGCTCGAAGACGACTTGTTTATATGCCTGTTACAATTCAGAAGGAGTACAACAATCAACACAAGTCCTTTTTTATCTCTAGTTTTGCACAGAGACCATGCTGGTGTTCAGACAGAAGAGAAAGTCATCCAGGACAAAGTAGAAGCCACGTTGGTGGTTGATTCTGAAGCTTCAGCTGCTAAGGTTCCCCTCGTGGACCCGTGTCCTCATCCTCTCGCCTTACCAGTCACGCCTCCAAAGCCTGCACCCTCTCAGCAGGCTGCTGGTCCGACTCTGACCAGTGAGAGCAAAAAGAAGCCAGAGCCCCCCGCTGAGGTGATTGAAGTGCCCAAAGCCCTGCCTGCAGAACGGGCAGATCAGAGACTGATGCTGGTGGAGATGTGCGTCCGCGCTCTCTTTCTGTGCCTCAGCCGCTTCCCTCAGCACTACAAGAGCCTCTACCGCCTGGCCTACTTCTACACCAGCAGTAAGACTCACCAGGTCGGTCTCCATCACAGTAACAACGTCATACATCCAAATACCGATTAACTGATCTTAATCTCAGTTAGGATGATTCCATACATTTGCTGCAAAAGTCTCAATGCATATGGTCAATCCATCAGGGCAGTCATTAATGATATTTTTTGACATTTCTTCTTCTAATTTGTATTTGCTGGACATATCAGCACCGCAGTGATGCTCGGAGTGTGTTTGCTATGAGGCTCTGTGGGCAGAGGTGTGTGTGGGGGTGGCTGTGCAGGCCTCTATCAGCCAGTTTGGCACGAGGAGATGCCAGTGAGCTTCACTGTGATGGCAGCCTTCTGTCAGCACTGTTCGGTTTAATGCTGCCTATTTATTAAGGGCAATTATGGACAAGTCGTCCTGTTGTGGTGCTCTCCTGTGGTCGTGTGAGAGGGAGGTGGCTGCATCGTTAGATTCACAGATTTTAATTATTTTTGTGCACAAAAGGAAGTTATGTAAAGTTGTGTTAACGGTTTATTAAAAGATAACAGGTTGTCCTAACCGTCGAGGAGTTTTCAGCAGCGTGGGTGAAAGCCAACTGGAAGTGACTAGAAGACGGAGTCCTTTGACGAGTTGCTGTTGACACAAGTCCACACACACACACACACAGACACACACTCACACAGATCCAGTGTTGGCCTCCTTACTGCTCTCGTCTCTCTCGCATCGACGGCCCAATTTTATTTCATCCTCATCCTGATGAAAGGAGGAGCCTGTGACTTGGAGCTGTAGACCACTTGCATTTTGGAAGATAATAAGAAGAGGCTTGCTATCTTCTCAAACAGGAAGCTTGTATAAACACTGAATTGTGAGTCCTTGTGTCATGAAGAGGTCTGCGCTTTCCTGATTGCAAATGAGTGATTCTTCTCCTCCTCATTAGGAATTATTTGATGCTCGTGTGTTTTTTCTCTCCTTGTGTATAAAAATGTACATGCAAATGCACATGCTCTTTTTTTCCCCTTTTCATTTATCTATTTTCCATCACAGAACCTACAGTGGGCCAGAGATGTGTTGCTAGGAAGCAGTGTCCCATGGCAACAGCTGAAGCACATGCCAGCACAAGGACTTTTCTGTGAGAGAAACAAGACAAACCTGTTTAACGTAAGTTAGAGTTCACACCCATGCCTTTATTTTCAATCCTTGTTTTCATCTGCCATCCTACTACATATTACCTAACACACACACACATCATTTCACCCTCATCATGCTTCAGTCAGCATGCAGTTTGCAGGATTGCTGTTAAGCCGGGTTCATGCTTCTCCGTCAGCTCCACAAGGGACAGACACGCACGGATTGACGGAAGCGTTTTGCTCTCATACTTCTCCGTCTCCTGGAGAGTGTTGCAAAGCAATTGCCCGGCAGGACAACAGAGGGCGTAGCGCTGTTCTGTGGTATCCTGTCATGTATCGGTCCAAGATAGTGTGTTTGTATTGTGTTTTTGTATAAATAAGAGACTTTAACACAAACAAATTTGTCTCTCATTCTCCTCCACCTCTTCTTGCGCTCCCCACCTCTAAACCCACGTTTCCTGTCATTTCCGTCCACCAATGAAACGCTTGCTGCGCATCTTTTCACTCCTCCAGTCACGGGGAATTAAACGTTCATATTTTAGAGTTTTTTTGCGAGGTATTCTTCAAGCTTCTCCGTGTCTGCCGCTTGTTATCCTCGGCTCTCTTTGTGTTTTTGAGGGCGCAATGGCGGCGCTGTAAACAACAGCGGCGTCCTGACCAATCACAAGCTTGCGTTGTCCGTCTCGACTGACTGATGTTTAGAAAAGAGAGCTCGACTCCATCTGTCCTTGCGGAGCTCTCCGGCAGGCCCGCAGGGACGTCGCGTGTCTCCGCACTGATGCAGACGGAGAAGCACGAATCAGGCTTTAGTCAGTGTAACGCGGTCATTCGAGGACTTGTGTTTACCACTAGCCCTGGTGGCTTTTACTCAGACAAAAGCTCTTGTGTTTAATTTACACCCTTTGATTTCGTGTGTGGTGTGAATAAGTTTTACTGTAGAAAACATGGCAATAGTCTGTAAAGAGCACACAGATTCTGCATGCTGACATGTGTTTATGAGAGCCTGAAAAGCCCTGCTAGCTCTGATCTGTCAGCTCCACGGCCCAGAGCAAAAATAAACACAATCTTGTGTAGAGAAAAAATGGTCCGACTTAATTGTCAGTCAAAAAGCTGAACGCTGACATCATCTCTCATCATTAACTTAACAAACGTTGAAAGGTGATGCATTTATCTGGTCATTTTACCAACAGAACATTGCATGCTAGGCTCCATTGTACCTGGACCATCCATACACACCTCAGCACAAGTGATGGGAGTTTTGGTGCCCAGTAGACGATGTGAGATTCAAGCTTTGTGTGTATTTGTATGCAGACTGAGAAAGTGAAATCTGATCACAAGTGGAGTTGGCAATGGGTATGAAGAGGCCTTTGATACCAGGAGAAAAGTGGAGCGCGTAGAGCTCTCCAATTACCCAGAGTGCCTATTAATATCATGTGTGAACAGCATGGCCGCTCTGTGTGAAGGTTTTTAACTTAAAGTACTTATATCATGCTTTTTCACACCTTCCAGAGCAACGGTAGGCACGATATATGATCAAATATTACTGTTGGTGCTTTTGAGATGGCATTTTTTATGAATGAAACATTCTTTCGATGCAGAAGTAAGGCGCTTGCTGCAGATTCAAGTTTACATGTCCTGCCCATCTCCTCACCTCCCACAAAAGTCTACATTGGAGGGTCAAGCATCTAACACACACACACACACACACACACACACACACACACACACCACTCAAACAGAGAAAAGGTGGCTGGGATGGTTGCACATTCTCTGCCTGAATTATTGTCCTAGTCCGTCCCTAATTCACACCCACCCAAATTTATAATCGTTCAGTTGGTGGCTAGCATTGTGGTTGTCCTGTCCTCTACTGGGTGGTTTTAATGGTGGGATGGTTCTGGTTTGATGAAGTAATCCATCTGCAAACCCACTCCGGTCTTGCCTGTGGTTTAACAAGCAGTCATTGAAATAAATGTCATGTTATGGGACAGCAGTAGCTCAGGAGGTACAGCAGGTTGTTCAGTAATCGGAAGGTTGCAAGTTCGATCCTGGCTCTGACCAGAGAAGGCTGCTATTGTGTCCTTGGCCAAGACACTTAACCCACCTTGCCTGCCTGTGGTGGTCGGAGGGACTGGTGGCGCCTGGGCTCGGCAGCCTCGCCTCTGGCAGTGTGCTCCAGGGCAGCTGTGGCTACATTGTAGCTCATCATCATCAGCTTGTGAATGAATGACTGATGAACTGTAGTGTAAAGTGCTTTGGAGTCCTCTGACTCTGAAAGTCGCTATACAATTGCGGGTCATTTGTCATTTAAAGCACCAAAGTCAGTATACTGGAGCGAACCAGAAGTTATTTCTTTTGCCGGACTCGCCTCTGTCAGTGTGCCCCAGCTGTAGCTACAGTGTAGCTCATCCCCACCAGTTTGTGAATGACTGATTGTGTTGTGAAGTGCCTTGGGGGGTCGTAAAACCCTAAGACGGCGTTATACAAATATAGGCCAATTGCCATGTTCCGGCTCAATTTCTGAGAGCTCTTGAAGATGAAATCCAACCATAAGCTCCAAAAAGTGGAATTTGCATGATATAGGACCTTTAAAGATAATAATAATGTTATTGTAGCGATTATGTTTAGCACTCAGCATCGGCACCGGTTTTCTTTCTCAGCCCACATGTGCTCATCTTTTATTTATCTCCAGTAGAATTATGGTTGTGACGAGTAAATAAATTAAACACCTAAACATGAAGGTCTATAAAGAACTACAGTGATGAAGAGGTCTCTGCCTCTCCTGCTCCAGTCTTCACATATTTCAGCCCAGCCGTGTGTTTTTGTTTTCCTGTGCTCGGCTCGTTTGCAGTTCAGCAGTCCGCCTGTGGCAGCAAAGCAGCGAACCACTGACAACAGTAGTTTCACTCATTTCTAACATCTCAAAACATCACTCAGTTTCAAAACTTTCTCCCTTTCACAGTTGCCTAGCAACCAGCGTAACACTTCATCTGTTATTGATTCGTAATTTGGCTTTTCCTTCCTGGATCATTCTTACACGCACACACACACATACACACACAGAAATCTGAACTTGAATAATTGATGTTATTATATTGAGATGGTGGTGTTATGGGTTCATTTGAAGTTTTCTGTTTTATTGGCTGTTTTCATTTTTTGTTGTTGTTCTGTTTGTTCCTGGTTTTTGTTTGGGTGTGTGATGGGGATGCAGAACGGGATTGTGGGAATCAAGCAGAGAAGCGACGTAGGAGGTGCGGTTGCTTTTACACGTGTCAAAATGCAGGGAAATGTAGGTAAAGATTGGATAGAGGCCATAACGGCAGCGGCTTGCGTTACTTTTATGATGCATTAGAAGAAGATAAAAATCACGAGGTGCTTCACAAGAACAAAAATTAAAAGATTAAAAATGATTAAAAATGTGAGGAAAGAGAAAACGAATAAGAATGGGGTAATCAGTAGATCACGGGAAAGGCAGAATTGGTAGAAAGAGCTGAATAAGAAGGTAGTGACTTCATTAGTTCATCCATCCATGTTTTTGGTGTGTTGGAGTCTGATTTCAGAGGGCTTGTCGTGAACAGACTGTGGACATGATGTGGGCCAGGTCTGAGCTGGAGGAGAGCTCTGCTGTACTCTGGCTCCCATTCGCTCTCACAGAGCCCCTTCTGGATGTAAACCTGCCACCGTGGCACACAAACCGTTGCAGCTTATCTGTTCCCTTTGAACCGAGCCCTGCGTCTCCATCATACAGCAATATACAGATTTCTTAACTGGAATCAAACGCCTGTCCTTGTGGAGTCTGTTAGTTCAGAGCAGATAAAGTCAGAGTTTCTAAAACTAGCTGCATTATGACCGAGGAGGTGTTACACTTGGACTTTGCCTTGTCTGATTTAAAACTGCTGGATTTGAGCCCAGGATGTTCGCCTGCTCAAGTTCTGATAGTTTTCTTTTATTACCCTATGATTCGCATCAGAACTGCCTGGGGGGGGGGGGGGGGGGGGGGGGGGGGTACTGGGAACATTAAACATGGGAGCCTAATGTCAGGATCCGTACTTTGATTCAAGTTGCTGTTTTTATTCCCACAAGTTTTTTTCCTGTTCTGGTTGCAGGTTTCTGCCTGTTTATGCTGAGGTCTAGAGTGACAGATTAAACGTTTGGCTTCAAGTGTGTTGTTGTTGCAGTCACACAAACTAAAAACCAGGTAACCAGGCTTTTCTAGGTGTCCTGTAAACTAAGCACTGTGACACAAAAGGGCTGGGCAATACGGCCTAACATCAGTATCCTGGTATATTGAGAGTTGCACCTCGATGCCGATAAATGGACGATAAGTGCATGTATGCGCAGAAACGCCTGTTCACCAGACGGGGCTGTCACGTGTATTACGTTGAGTCACCTTGTCGCGTGACTCGAGGTGGTACAGCTTGTTAAAGGGACATGAATGTCGCCAACCTACACATCTTTTCATTTTTTTTAATCACATTTTTTTGACATGGGGAAACATTTTTGATACTGATGAAGTTTCTATTTTATTGCCCAGCACTATGACACAATCATAAAACAAATGTATTTCTCTCATTGTTTCCACAATCAGCTCTTTTCCTTCAAATAGCTTGAACATTTCTGAATTCTTATTTAATTTTCAAAATCATACTGTTTCTTTGTACTTAGCATACTTTGACTTGGAGATCATCTTGAAAAAGTTGGCTTGATTTGCACATTTTTAAATACCATTAAAACCATCAAAGATTCATTCTGAGGTTGTTTGTGCTTACTGGGCTACCTGACCACATGCAAGTGGAGTGAAGATGGCAATCCAAGGCTTGTATGACCAAAATGTTTGGACAGATTCAATGAAACACTAACATTTGCACACTATTAGTGAGAATTGTTCTAATAATAACATGGGTTTGCACTCCTGCCAATAGACTGCCCTAAATGTCACACACGGGAACTTTATTCCTGAGTTGCTAGATGTAGGTCATGATGCCCTACTTTGTCTTTTTTCACTCTGGCTGGCTGTCCATTAACCGGTGCCTA